CCTTCCTTCCTCGTCTACCTAACCCTAGCTATGGTGCACAGCGCTGATGTCTGCTCCAAGGTGCGCCCAACCAAGTCACACTCGAAGAGTCGCACAAGCAACCAGCAGTGCTTCCACAACATTTGGATGGACAAAAGGGTACTTTAGCAGCCCTTTGTAATCGCTGCAAAATTGGAAATTACAATCCCTTTTTTTGTCCAGCAGAAAACTGTACTCATGCCTGGCCGAGGTATATCAATTATTTCAAACAGAGATGCAACCACATGTTGTCGACTTCCAAACCAGCTCTGAGCATTCTCAGCTTTTTTTTTTTTTTTTTTTTTGGTGGTGGTGGCGCTGGAATATTGTTATCATGACATCATCAGGTGACAAGGGTGTACAGACCATCTCCACAGACTCCACATCACCACCCCCCCTGCCTCCAAATAGTGGTCCCCTGGCCGCCAGAGTCTGTTCATAGCGAGGGTGATGCCTGATTGCCATATGGCGAGGCTGATGAGGCAGAGGACATGTCATGCCCTCACCCGCCTCTCTATCACCCGCCCCTTTCCCACACTCCCATACCACTGACTTCTACCGTGACCAATGTACCATACTCCACCAAACCCCTCTCCACACTCTTCTCTGCTTGTAAGACCCAGAGCAGGGAGAGAGAGACTCCTCTGGCTCACAATCCTGGCGTTTTTTTTTAATGGCAGGCTGCATCATGTCACTCACTTGGTCACGTTGCACTTGCGTAAACCTCACTCCGTCTGTAATGCTTGTGATAGCCATCGTCTGTGCCAGCGGGAGCAGATTGCACATTATCTTTGGCCGTTGTGGCCTGGGTCCTCTAGTGGCCTCCATTGCGGCCTTCGGACTCGCGGGTTCGTTTTCGTGTTCTTCGACCGCGTCGCATGCAGCGACGGGGGAGCAATCTTGATTTCCTTGGGACCGGTAACAGTCCCAGTCCCAGGGCCTTGGGACCGGTAACAGTCCCAGTCGGCCTTGGGACCAGTAACAGTCCCAGTCCCAGTCCCAGTCC